CAAGTCATGTACATCTATTTTGAGGCTTTAAAACTCAAGTAAAACTCAAGTGAGAGTGTGAGGAAGAGAAGAGAACACAAACCATTGGCTTTCTTAAAGAGTTAAGAAGACTCATCTTTGAAGGGCTTGAAGGCAGCCAAAACAACGGCTACTTTGCACACAAGAAACCCGAAAGTCCCTACCACAATCTCTCTTGGTGTAACTGCAAATGCAGTGAGATCTTCGCCAGTGTAACCTCTAACGGCTAAAACCGACAATCCCGTGGCCAATACAAGGCTCAAAACCGGAATCTTGAGTCTTCCGCTGAGTATTTGATTGGAGTTTTGGGAAGCAGAGGTTCCTGGCGCTTGAAGTTCATCGACTGATCTCTGTAGGAGCAGCAAGTAGAAAAATCCCATTGTTCCACCGAAGAAAAATGCAATGGCGGAATTCTCGCCTAGTGAGAATGAAAAGAGTAAACTTCCAAGAAGGACGAGAATTGCATCGTAGAGTAACAGAGAGAGTTTCAAGTTTGCATATTCTTCCATGCTTTCCTCGTTGGAAACAACTTTACGATCAAGAGTCAGAGCCGAAGACAAAGAGACTTGATCAGGGTCAGTGAGTTGAGTGATACGAGTAGGCCTGAGTTCCACCATTGATAAGTCATTGCTCTCTCCAAGCAAGATTTCATCGACTTCAAAATCATATCGGTAACAGTAAGTTTCTGCATCGGTTTCACCAAGAAAAGGTCCTTCAACAACCCACAAGCTCACTCCTCCAACTCTCCATTGACCTAAAACATGAAAAAGCTAATTCTATAGTCACAAAATTATGTACTGGTTAACAATATCAAAGATACTAACCAGACTCAAGACTGATCCAAAAAGCTCTGATTTTGCCGAGTTTCGGTCCTTCGAATGTGAACTCATCAACAGAACCTCTCTGAAACTTAAAGCTTTCACCATTCTCAACAACCTCTGGATCCAAAGATTCATTGCTTGCCAAATTTGCAGGTATTATCTGTAATATCGAATCACCCTTTTCGTCTATCAAGCATACAAGAACTCTAGCATTCATATCACTAATCCCTGAACCGAACAAATTACTTGTCTCCAGCTTAACTTTATAAAGAGACCGACATTCACTCACAGTGAGAGATTGATTCTCTCTATAAACTTTCACTTCTTCTACTGGTAAGAGACGTAAAGGTCTTGCATAACTCTGAAAATCTAAAAACCCCAAAAAATTCAACAATTTCAGTG